GAGAGAGAGAGAGACGAATAGATAGACGTTAGGGCGCTCAGAGAGCGTATCGCCCCGGAAATAGTGGTTTTTATATTTCCCTGTTTCCCATTCCCCATCACTACAAATCTAACCTCCGATCCAATCCAGTCCTGAATCCCGAGTCCCATTGCGCAAGGAAAAAAAAAAAAAAAGAAATGATACAAATGCCACATAGATGGAGAGGTAAAGGGGCGGGGGGAATATGAAAAAGAGCGGGCAAGTTATAGAGTAAATACATACGAGAGAAGGGGGAAGGAAAAAAAGCCCGAAACCAACCGCAACCAAAACCCGCCGACCAATAGATCCGATTGTACTAGACTAAAACTTAACAAAAATAAAATAATAATAATAATAACTAACAGACTTATCCCTCAGATACCACCCAGAGAAAGGAAAAAGGGATGAATAAAAAGAAAGCAAAAAACAATCAATCATCGTATCATTATCATGTACAAGTAGGCAATGAATCACGCTTTACTTCACCTCAAGCATACCGCTCCGACCGTGCAACGGGCGGGAAGCCCGTATTGCCGTAGGCAGGTGGACTCCTCATATTCTGAGACCCATGCGACAGTGGCGGGGGCATGGGGTACACGTCCGGGTCCGCGTCACGGTGTCTGTGCCATCTTCGGTCGTGTGGTTGGTACCCGCTCATGGATAGGCGTGGTGGACTCTTCGGTGTGGCTTTGCGTGCTCGCCTGCGTCGGCAGCAACTCCATATGCAGGAGAGGAGGGAAAATATTACCAGGGCGCCGATGCCGACCGATACGCCTATTACGATGTTTTTATTCTACACCTATTAGCTTCGGCTCAGTGAGGGAAGGGGGGGGGGTACCTTATTGATCCAGCTTTTAACTTGACCAAGCGTTGTCGCGCCATTGCATACTCCGGCCTTACACATCCCATCACCGTTACATGGCGTTCCGTCGAGGAAGTTCTGTTGCATGCGGAAGCAGGTTCCCGGGCCAAACTCCGGGGATGCGCAAGTCAGCTGGCAATCCGAATCGTAGCATGAATGTGTACTATTGCCGCGAAGCCCCATAACCGTCTTGCATTGCTGGTCTCGGGATGTGCACTGCCCGCTCGCGCACTTCAGTCCGTTGCCACAGGAATCGCCTGCGGTGGTAAGTGTGGTTAGATGGGACGGATTGGCTTCACTGGGCGGGAGTCTCGTGACGTACCATTCTTCGAAACGACGTCTGCAGGGCAGGTAGCATTCCTTCCCGTGCACCTTTCCTCGGGATCGCAGGGGCCATTGCTAGATCGGCAAACCCTGTCCTTTGACGAAAACTGGCAGCCCGTGCAGCAATCCTCATTCGCATCACTGTAACGGTATCATTAGCACAGCCCGCTCGCTGAATGTGACCGGTAACATACTCGCAGACCGCATTAGCCTTGAACTTGCAGGTGGTAGGCTCGCAGCAGGAGTTGGTTCCGCAGCCCTCCGTTCCACCGCAGTCACAGTCCTCGCCGGGTTCCACGATACCATTACCACACTCATTTTTCGTGATAACGCTAACGTCCCTGTTGGATGTCAAGCAGGACATATCAACGCTCTTCCTTTTAAACGCTGAACAGACATTCCCGACAGTGCACCTAAGCCAGTCAGCACGCATCACTCGAACCAAGCATCAACAACAAAAAACCTACGGACTAAAACTCGAGATTGTATCGGTGGTGGTCGGATTCATCATAAACCTCCCAGCAGCATCACAGGTCTCCGAGGAGAGCGGACAGCACATGGATGCGGAAGCAGTATTTCCCACACATGTGGAGGACGTGCAATCATGCACGGCACCCATGGTATGGGCAATTTCATGAGCAATAACCTTCCACTCGGACGAAGTCCTGGCAATAACATTGGCCCCGGTGACGAACTGTCCCGCTTGGGTAATGGTGTCCTTCTGACACAGCATGCCCAACCAGGCGAGCCCAACGGCGGACCCGGTCTCACAAGTGGTCATCAAGGTCCACAAAGCGTTCGAGTCATTCGACCGGGTACCCCTCCACTCGGAGAAAAGATTCAGTCGATTCTCGATACTCGAATTACCGGACGAGCACGGAATGTTCCACTTTGCGGTCGCTGGGGGAGTCCCCGGACAATTCGCATCGCTGATAACGAGCGTGGAAAGGCCGAGCGTAATGTTGAAGGTTTTCTCGAAAAGGTTGGAGGCTGCGTTGATCTGTGTGATGATGTTCGACCTGGCCTTCTCCTGGTCGCCCTCAAAGTCGGCGGTATAAGTGCAGTCAGTGGCAACGCCAACCAACGCAACCAACCTAGTGTTCGGACAACCATCCGTGTTCCCAATTGTACCACGCAAGTTCACACCAGCAGAATTCCCCGTGCCACCGGTAAAGCCATCATTTCCGTCCAGATTTTGCCTCCTCTTCAGTCCACCCTGGAATAGGTCTTCCAACCCGATACCCGCCCACAGTCGCCCCTTGGGCAATTCTGGCTCCAGAATCATCCTATTCACCAAGTGCTCCGGCTGAACATTAAATTCCAATCTATCGGCCGGACACATGACCCCAGCGTCGTCATCGTCACCGTCGTCATTCCGCTCCTCGACCCCTCTCCCCACGAGAGGCTGGTCGTAAAAATCCCTATCCATAACATCAGAATCCCGGAAAACAACCATCCCCTCCCTTCCTTCCGGTTCAACATCCGGATCCAATGCATGCCTAGTCCTCCTATAAGTAGATCGGAATTGGATGTGGTGAGCGTCGTGCAGCAGAGTGAAGGCCCCCTCAAACAGCGGATCCTCCCCATCCCTCGTGAAGACAACGCTAGCCCATCCAGCATGAACCCACTCACCCTTACGCTCGTTCCTCAACCAAGCAGTCCCCCGGTAAACCTTTATGTGGTGTCGGACAATCAGCTCCGAGTGCCTGACATTCCCATCCACATCCAGGTACTCGACCCTGGCATCGTCGGGCAATATCTCGTGGTTCGGCTCGAGCGCGAACTTGACCCGTTGCTGCCCCTTGTGCAATGTGAATGTCAGGTCGAACGACGAGCCCGAGTGTATTCGCTTGCCGGGAGTAATTATCTGAGGGTCCTCAATAAAAGTTATGTACGACACCGGGTTCCGGTGCTGCGAGTGTCCTGCGGGAGGGGATCTCGTCAGGACGTTGCCGCCAACCAACCAACAAGGGGTTTCAAGAATAAAAAGGCTGACGACGTACCTATAACTACATCTATTAAAAGTACAGACAAAGAGAGTCCATGTAGAAATAACGATAATGGCGGCGGTAAGCGCATTGCGACGGATGTAATGTGTATGTGCGAGCGCGAGGAAATGGGGGAGGGGAGGTAGGGTGTGGTATAGAGGGTCGAAATAGACAGGGTGGCTCCAACGTATCAACGAAAACCTTCAAGGGGTGGGATGACCAGCAAGCGGATCGAAAAGGCAATACCAAGCGGTAGCCGTCCAGCGGAAGGCACAGGATGCGAACAAACCACCGATGAGTTTTCCCTATCCTTTCAACGATAAAACGATAGTACTGTAATCCTCTCCTTCCCGGCAGGCGCAAGGAAGGGGCTCGGGGTAGCGAACTCGGACACAATGGGCCAAAAGCAGCAAGGTTTGGAACCGTTTTGCCCACTCTTGGACGGGAAGGGTAAAAGGAGGAAAAAAGGGAGATGGAAATGAAAATAGAAATAAAGAGAGAGGAAGAGGGAGGGAGAGAGAGAGAGAGAGAGAGAGAGAGAGAGAGAAGAGAGAGAGAGAAGAAGAG